ATGTGCCTGGGAAGGCCAATGGATGATAGCCCAAGTGCTTGGGCCCCTGCCACCCACATAGGAAACCCAGATGGAGTTCTGGGCTCCTGACTTCAGCACAGCCTAGCCCTGGCTGTTGCAGGCATTTGGGGAATGAGCCAACAGATGGAAGATGTCTCTCCCTGGCTCTCCTCTCTCTCTCACACACACACTGTGCCTTTCAAATAAGCAAAATAATTTTTATAAGATTTATCTGAAAGAGTTACAGAGAGGCAGAGAGAGAGCGAGATCTTCCATCTGCTGGTTCACTCCCCAAATGGCCGCAAAAGCCAAAGCTGCATCCGAAGCCAGGAGCCAGGAGCTTCTTCCGGGTCTCCCATGCAGGTGCAGGGGCCCAAGTACTGCTTTCCCAGGCACATTAGCAGGGAGCTGGATCGGAAGAGGAGCAGCCGAGACTCGAACCAGTGCCCATATGGGATACCGGCACTGCACTCAGCGGCTTTACCCAGTACGGCACAGCACCAGCTCCTTCTTTTTTTTTTTTTTTTAACGACCGTTTGTTCTGTAGCCTTTCTCTGGATGCATAGCCCTCCAAGGTGGTGTGCTCTGAGCCTCTCTGGTGTATCCGCCTTACCTGTCAAACAGGCCATTTCGGGGCTGTAGAATTGGAGGGTAGGCCAGGTGCAGACGGAGCTGGCCCCAGACAAGGGTCCCTACCTCGGCAAGTAGGAGTGGTGCTGGGGCCAGAGTTTCCCACGGGGAGCTGGCGACCACTGTTTCCATACAGGTGAGGAGGGAGTTTCGTTACCTGCCTTGATACTTCACACCCATGAGGAAACCCTAGTGAAGAAGGTGCTTCCGGGGGAGAGAGCTCCCCCGACCTGTCACCCTCAGCAGCACAGCCGCTCTGCCCGCCCGCCCCTTCACTGCCGTCAAAACAGCAGGCACAATCCCACACACTTGATTCCTCAGGGAAAAGTCAGGTCTCCTCCTTCAACTTAACCCAGTTAGGCTTCCTCTGGTACCTGACTTCAGACAAGCCACTTCCCAGCGCTGCCGTAACACACAGGGTGAGAGAATGAGCAGGTGGGTGCCCAGCCCTGCCAGCTGTGGTGAGATGGTGGCACCTGGTGCTACTGCCCGGTGTGATACCGGCCATGGCACCACAGCCAGGCTGTACTAGGAGGGTGTTGGCTCCTGTCACTGTCACACCACCTAAACACCATGCCAGTCCCTTGTAATAGCTGTCCATCAAAGGACGGGATGCCTCCCCTTGTGGTCTCCCATTCCATGGCACGGCACAGTGGGGGATCCCCGTCATCTGCTCAAGTCTCCCTCCAGCCCTGGTGCTACTGCTGGCCATGGAACGGTAGTTCCTTCCAAAATTCCCTTGCCTGGAATTTTGTGCATTGAGTTCCTTGTGAAAAGAAAAGGAATAACCCATGAGGAGGCAGCCAAAGGTGGCCAACTACTGGATCCTCAAACATTTTTTAAGGCAGAGTTACAGAGAGACAGAGAGAGAGAGAGAGGGGTCTTCCATCCCTGGTTCACTCCCCAGATGGCTGCAATAGCCGGAGCTGTGCTGATCCAAAGCCAGGAGCCAGGAGCTTCTAATGGTTCTCCCATGCAGGTGCAGGGGCCCAAGGACTTGGACCATCTTCTACTGCCTTCCCAGGCCACAGCAGAGAGCTGGATCGGAAGTGAGCAGCCAGGACTCGAACTGGCGCCTCTGTGGGATGCTGGCACTGCAGGCGGGGCTTTGCCCACTATGCCACAGTGCCAGCCCCTCTTTTGGTTGTTTGGTGGGCTTGAGGTCCCTTCAGTGGGCATCCGTCCTGTGCTCATCCCCCGGGCACCATCGCCCAGGGCCAGGGTGCTGTCAGTAGCTGTGAAGATACCTTTGACAAGGGAAGGCAGGAAGGCCCTGCCACTCCAGGTAAGCTCTTCCCCACCTGCCTAGCTGGACGGAATCCTAGCTGGAGTTTGAACCCACACTCATCTCAAGGCCCAAGATTTCCCCACCACACAGCACAGTCTTACAGGCAGAGCCTGGGGGCCAGTGTGGTGGCAGAGCCAGCAAAGAGCCACCTGGGATGCCGGCATCCCAGGTGAGCTCCCGGCTGCCCCTCTTCCAATCCAGCTCCCTGCTAATGCTTCTGGGAAAGCAGTAGAGGATGGCCCAAGCCCTTGGATCCCTGCATCTGCGTGGGAGACCTGGAAGAAGCTCCTGGCTCCTGGCTTTGGGCTGGTCCAGCCCTGGCCATTGCGGCCATCTGGAGAATGAATCAGTAGATGGAAGACCTCTCTCTCTCTCTCTCTCTTTCTCTCTCTCTCTCTCTCTCTAACTCTGCTTTTCAAATAAATAAATCTAAAAAAAAAAAAAAAAAAAAAAAAAAAAACACGGAGCCTGGCCACTCTGCGAGTCAGGCTGGGCACAGGCCTGGGAAGGAAGGGGGAGAGGGGGAGGGGAGGGGAGTGAAGGGAGGGGGATGGGAGAGAGGGAGGGGGAAGGGAGAGGAGGGAGGGCGGGCCGGCTCTGTTCCTCGACAGCCACCTGTCCTTTGTGGGTGGAGGTGTGGGGGGGAGCTCTTTCCATCTTTTGTGTCTTAAGCGGTTTTTTCCTCCCTTCGCTCTTCCCTACTCTCTCTCCGTGTTCCTTTTTGTAGATAATACTCCCACGGGCCTCCCACAGCCGCTCCAAAATGCAGCCTCCTGAGTTTCTTGTTGACAGAGGCTCCGAGCTGTCTGCACAGGGCTCCCCCTCCAGCTCCCCTCCACCGCACCCCCCGACTCCTCTGTGTGGCCCCATGAGTCAGGAGCTGGGGGTGGGGGAGAGGAAGAGCACCTTACACAGAGGAGGGCCCTGGGACAACCCCAACACTCCTCTCCTGGGATTGTGCAGGGGGTGGGAGGCCTAAGGGAAAAGGTGGGGAATTAATCACCAGGCGCTGAGGGAGCCTGCACAGGCCAACAAGCCAGGCCTGGCCGGAAGCAGTGAGGGTCCCGGCAAAGGGGCGGCAGGAGAGGCGCTGAGCCCCACAGAAGCGCACGGCCACACCAGTGTTTGCGCCCCCTCAGCATACATGCAGTCTTTGGGAGATGGTGTGGGAGGAGGCTTAAGGGCCATCCCTTGGGGGCAAGAATTCCATGAACCTTAGTGTATTTTCTTCCCCCAGGAAACCAGAGCAGGGACACCAGCATGGGGCATGTGACAGCAGTTACTGCCTCGATGGAGATCAATGTGCCGATGTCAGGAAAGCGCTCAGCGCGAGCCTGGTCCAAAGTCAACATAACCCCTGGGGCACCCACACGTCCCATCTACTCCCTGCTAATCCCAGGAGAGTCTGGTCCAACTCTGGCTCCCAGCAGCCCAGGCAGCTGAGCTGGAAGCTTGCAAATCAGAGTGCTTGCACCACCAGGAGTGGCTCCGGGACCACCTGGACCTGAGACCCACCCGGAAGCCCACACACACTGGGGGGGTGGGGTGGGGGGCAATGGCTTTGCTGGAGGGAGGCAGAATCTAGAATTGAGGTTGGCAAACCATCAGAGTTGGAACTCTGCCATTCACCAACTTCCTTACCTTGAGCAAGTCTCCCCACCACCTCTGTTTCTCTGCCTCAGTTTCCTCCTTCATGAACTGGAGGGTAAAGTAACACCCTATTTTTTTATAGAGCCCCTGTGAGACTCAAGCATCTGCAAGATATGAGTGTCATGCCCTGTTCTATCTCCTTTTCACTCGTTTGTGTTTGTGACAGCCGCCCATTTCACAGATGAGAAAACTGAGTCACGAAAGATTAATAACGTTCCTAAAAAAAAATCACCCAGACAGCAGCTGGCAGCCTGGTTCCCAAGTTAGCCACAGTGCTATCCTGTCCCAGAGGGAGCTGACTGCAAAGTGCATTCTCCTTGGCAAGTGCTCACCAGTCACCTGGAGGAGACTAGATGTGGGGGTGACTCCGCCGGCCAGGACCAGGCCCGGCGTGGGGGTGTGGCAGGAGGAAGGATCCCATGACTCAGAGGACCGGGGAATGGGGCCCTTCCTGCCTCTCTTGCCAAGGATCCAGCTCATGTAAGCACAGGTGCCTTGGGCTTGGGCCCGCCTCTCTGATGCGGAGTAGGCGGAGAAGCGGAGGACAGTCCTTTTGCGAAGCCGGGGACCGTGGGTGTGTCTCCGCCAGGGCTGGGATACTCCCCGCTTCCCTGGTTCGGGAACAAATTGCTGCTTTGGCCGCGGCGCAGGCGGTAGCCGCGCTCGCTGGCAGCCGTGGGAGGGACGGAGGAGGAGAGGCGCGGGCAGGCGCAACATGCAACGAACTGCCGTGGCTAGGGGGTAGGGCCGAAGACGGCGCCAGGCAGCTCGGCTCAGCCGCGCTCGGCGGCATCGCAGGTCCTGCCCCCTGCTCGCTCGCGGGCAAGGCTGGGAAGTTTTCCCACGAGTTTGACCCCTGTCGGTCTCCTGCCTCCGCAACGACCTAGGGGCAGCAGAAGGCGACGGGTGCTTCACAGACATAAGAGGGGGTTGGGACAAAGAGTCTGAGCTGCCTCCTTACCCCACCACACCTCTGGGGTCCTTAACCCCTGGGGCCTCCCCCAACCCCCCCATTCCCTGACAGCTCCTGCCTGCAGCTTCGTCTCCTAGTAGCGGCCGGATCCATTTGCCAGAAGGTCAAGTTCAGGCTGAGAAAGGTTTGGATAGCTTAACTACCCAGTAGCTGGGTGCAGAACCACACACGCGCAAAGTTGGAGGCCCTCTGGGGCCCCGACCTTCGCCTGCCCGCCAGCCACTCTCCCATTTAGGGTCTTCCTTGGGGAGAGCATCTCCCGGCAAGAGGCACCCCCCCCCCTCGCCTCCCCGAGCCCTCCTCCCTCCAGGGGCAGATGCTGCCAGGAGGCTGAGAAACACCCCCCCACCCCGCTCTGCTGCGGAGACGCCTCGCCCCTGTTCCCAGCTGAGTCAGCCCCAGCCCACCGGGCGCTCGCCGGCCGTCCTCCAAGGGGTGGGCGGGCGGCGTGGGGCGGCCCCTGGGGCGAGGTAGGAAGGCGGCGCGGCCTCCCGGCCCCCACCGAGGTCACCGGGGGTGGGGTGGGGGGATCCCTCAGCGGGTGGCCTGTCCCTTTAAGGAGGCGGCCCTGCCTGGGTGTGCCCCGTCTCCATGGTTACCCCGGTGCGGGCGGCGGGCGCGGGAGGGAGGCAAGGAAGCCGCTGCTGCTCCCCGACAGACGGAGGAGGCTGCGGGGACCCGGCGCCGAGCGCAGCCCGCCCGGGAACCGACCCGCAATCCAGGCGCGACCTGCGGAGGGGCGGGGGGTGCCCCGAGCGCCGCGGCCGCGGGGCGCGGGGCCCGGGCTTCGTGGGCGGCGAGGGCGCGAGGGGCCGCGCGCCATGCTCAGGTCCCCGACGGCGCGCACGGCCGCTCGCGCACCCCCGGCCAGCCGGGCCTGCGAGCCTTGGCCAAGCTCTGCCCTTCGACGGCTGCGCTAGGGGGCGCGGGGCCCGGCGGGGGGCGGCCGAGCGGGGCGCCCTCCCCCGGCGCTGAGCCCCCGGCGCCCCGGAGGGATGGGGCGGGCGGCAGCCGCCGCCTAAGATGCCGGCCATGCGGGGGCTCCTGGCGCCACAGAACACCTTCCTGGACACGATCGCCACGCGCTTCGACGGCACGCGTGAGTGCGACCCTCAACCCCCCCAACACCTCCACCCGCTCCCGGAGCAGTCGGGCCCCCAGCCAGTCTCTCGCCGCAGGGTAGCTAGGCTGGCGCCCGCCCGTGTCACCTGCCCCCCTTCCCCGGCCCCTTGAGACTGGGACCTGTCCCCTTCCGGGCACCGTTTCCCCGAAGGGCTCAGGGTCAACCCTGCTCCAGGAGGAGCAACTGGGCAGGAACGAGAAGCCCCTGGGTGGTGTGTCCCCCCCAGGGGGGGGCGCCAACTCGGATCTGGTGGCTCTGACCCATGCGACCCCAGCATGGCTCCCCTTGGACCCAGGTGGGGGGTGGGGCGGGCCGGCAGGTGAGGTGGAGCAGGCAGGACTCAGGTGGGCACGGGGTGTCCCAATACATCAGCCTGAACCCACCAGCCTCAGGAGCCCGTCCAACCCCAACCCCACGGTCGGGGACACCCAACTTGGATGAGGCCACCTGAGCTGCTGGGTCCTGGGTTCAGGGTCAGGGGCAGGGGAAGTCGTGCAAATCCCTCCCCTCTTCCCTCGATCACTCCCGGTGGGGGGGCTTCCCAGCTCTTCACTAGGCTCTCAGCAGTCTCTGGCTCCTGACAGGGGTGGGAGCCCATGGAGCACCCCCCCCCCCAGGCTCCTCCATCTGCTTTGCCAGTGTGCTTGGCTCTGCAGCCCCCCACTCTCCTTAGCCACTGTCCTTACACCCCCGTTCCTTCCCACCAGCACTCCCTGCTGCACCACGGGGTCAGACAGCTGGGGCTCAGAGCCTGCTGGCGGGAGGGTGGATCGCGGTCCAGTTGCCTTTCCCTGGGAGCGGCCAGCCACCTGAGCCTGGCAGAGATGGAGGTGGATCTGACCCACGTGGGGTCTAGCCTGGAGCTGACAGTGCCATCCTCTTTGGGCATCCCCATGCCCACCCCTTCCCCCAAACTGCTCCGGGCAGGGGGCAGGGCACAAGGCCACAGAGTGCTGTGCTCACCAGCTCCCACCCCACTCCACTCTCCTCTCCTCCTCCCCGGGACATCTGGGAAGGGGTGGGTGGCACCGACAGGCACTCTCTTGCAGATAGTAACTTCGTGCTGGGCAACGCCCAGGTGGCGGGGCTCTTCCCGGTGGTCTACTGCTCCGATGGCTTCTGCGACCTCACGGGCTTCTCCCGGGCTGAGGTCATGCAGCGAGGCTGTGCCTGCTCCTTCCTCTACGGGCCAGACACCAGCGAGCTCGTCCGTCAGCAGATCCGCAAGGCTCTGGATGAGCACAAGGAGTTCAAGGCTGAGCTGATCCTGTACAGGAAGAGCGGTGAGGGCCACCCGGCCAGCCCCGCCACGAGCAGCCTCCCCTCCTCTCCCATCCTGTCTGCACCCTGCTTTCCCACACACCCCTGCACGCCAACCCCACTTCTTGGCCCTGGCCTCCTCCCTGGCTCTGGGAGGCCAGCCTCACGCTTGGCTCCATTCCCCTCCTGGGTGTCCCACCTCCAGCGCAGAAGCATCCTCGTCTTGACAGCACCCACACCTGGGAGTCCGTCGAGCCCCCTCCCAGGACCCCCCCCTCCCAGATCCTGCCTGTGTCTGCTGGGGGTAGGGGTGGGACTTTGGTGGAGCTGAGTCTGCCTTTGTGCCCAGGACTTCCATTCTGGTGCCTCCTGGATGTGATACCCATAAAGAACGAGAAAGGGGAGGTGGCCCTCTTCCTGGTCTCTCACAAGGACATCAGTGACACCAAGACCCGAGGGGGCCCTGACAACTGGAAGGAGACAGGTGGGTGCCTGGGGGGCCGCTGATGAGGCTGTCGCAGCCAGGCCACCAGGTGCCTCGGGCCTCCTGCACGCATCGACCCCGCCCCCCGGCTGGGTAAGGGGTCTGTGCTACCTTTGGCTCTGCTCCCAGGATCGGAATCTTGAGACCAAGTGGGAGTTATTGAGTCCGTTTGCTAAGAGACTGAAAGCAGAGACACTCCCCCTGGCACCTGCAAAGCATCCCTTTCTGGCCAATTAGAGTGAGGCTAAGCTCAGACCCACCTGGCTCCTGACTGGGGAGGGCTGGCCAAAGCCCCCTTGTAAGTCCTCAGGGTTCTTTCCTCTCTTAATATACTCCAAGGAGTGGCGCAGGCGCTGGCCAGATCACAAGGCTGCCACCAGTTGGGGATTGGCATACTCTCCCTCCCACCCACACACGCACACCCAGCCACACCTCTGCCAGAGAGCTCTGCTCTCCCTCCAGCCTCTTCCCATGGACAGTCCCTGTGGGCCTCACCTGGCTCTCCCCTCACCCCGCCTCCTGTAAACAGTTCCTGGGAGTAGTGGACATAGGCACTCCTAGGGCTGCCCATGAATGGGAGTGGCAGATGACCCCAGGAAATGAGGAGCACCCGAACCCTCAGCTCTATCCAGAATAAGCCAGACCTGTCCTGGGCTGGCAACCAGGGTCACGTACCCCTTCGTCTTCACGGTCTCCCCTCCTTTTGCAGGGGGTGGCCGGCGCCGCTATGGCCGGGCGGGGTCCAAAGGCTTCAATGCCAACCGACGGAGGAGCCGGGCTGTGCTCTACCACCTGTCTGGGCACCTGCAGAAACAACCCAAGGGCAAACACAAGCTCAACAAGGTTGGGTGGAGCCCTTGGTGTGTGTGTGCTTGGGGGAGGGAAGCCGGGGGCCAGTCCAGTGGCCACCCAGGCTGCATATGGGGGTCGGGACTGAAAGAGGGCATTTCCCACTTCCTCCCTCGAAGACATAGGAGGCCAGGCTTGACCTTGGGCCAGATGGGCTCGTCCCTTCAACAGCTGTGTTGCCTGGGCTAAGTCATTTGGTTTCCCTGCTCCTCGATTTTCTGATCTCTAAAATGGGGTTGCTATTGCCTGTGTCAGAGGGTAGGAGAAGGGAAAGGAGGCGACCAGCCATTCCCTGGGACAGGGGTTGGGGGAGATGGTACCCCTGCTCAGCCTGGGCCCATGTCCTCTGCTCCCCACTGGATGCCTGTCCCAGGGAGTGTTTGGGGAGAAACCAAACTTGCCCGAGTACAAAGTGGCCGCCATCCGGAAGTCACCTTTCATCTTGCTGCACTGCGGGGCGCTGAGAGCCACCTGGGACGGCTTCATCCTGCTCGCCACACTCTACGTGGCTGTCACTGTACCCTACAGCGTGTGTGTGAGCACGGCCCGGGAGCCCAGCACTGCCCGCGGCCCGCCCAGCGTCTGTGACCTGGCCGTGGAAGTGCTCTTCATCCTTGGTATGTGGTCCTGTGCCACGCGCTCTCCTCCCCGGAGCCCCACAACCGTCCCCTGGACCCGGCCCATGGAGCCCAGCTGAGTCCGTCCCCCCTGCCCCGGACTTCCCCACAGACATCGTGCTGAACTTCCGCACCACGTTCGTATCCAAGTCCGGCCAGGTGGTGTTCGCCCCCAAGTCCATCTGCCTCCACTACGTCACCACCTGGTTCCTACTGGATGTCATCGCTGCGTTGCCCTTCGACCTACTGCACGCCTTCAAGGTCAACGTGGTCAGTTGGGCTCGGCTGGGCGGGTGGATGGGGCCCGGGGAGGGGCGGGGAGAAGCCAGCCCAGGGTGACCCCGCCCCCTGCTCCTGCCTCCGCCCACCCTCGGCTCCCTCAGTACTTCGGGGCGCACCTGCTGAAGACCGTGCGGCTGCTGCGCCTGCTGCGCCTGCTCCCGCGCCTGGACCGGTACTCGCAGTACAGTGCCGTGGTGCTCACGCTGCTCATGGCCGCGTTCGCCCTGCTCGCCCACTGGGTGGCCTGCGTCTGGTTCTACATCGGCCAGCGAGAAATCGAGAGCAGCGAGTCGGAGCTGCCTGAGATTGGTACTGGAGGCTCAGGGTCGGGGCTGGCGAGGGGGGGAATATGCGTGCGGGATACGTGGCAATGCTGTACCTGTGGTGTGCGTGAGCGCCGGAGGAGGGGCCCACTGCCGAGGAGACCCGGTCGCCCGCTGGGGCCTCCTGGTGGCCAAATGTTTGTCACATTCCTTGCACCCCTGCTCTGCTGGGAAGCCCGAGCGGCACTTCTGGGGACAAACCCTGCGATGCGTGTCCCTCACCCCCCCCCCCAACAAGCTTCTAACTCTTTAAAGATTTATTTATTTATTTGAAAGGCAGAGTTACAGAGAGAGAGAGAGAGAGAGAGGTCTTCCATCTGCTGGTTCACTCCCCAAATGGCCACAACAGCTGGAGCTGGGCCAGTCCAAAGCCAGGAGCCAGGAGCTTCTTCCAGGTCTCCTACATGGGTGCAGGGGCCCAAGCACTTGCTCCATCCTCAGCTGCTTTCCCAGGCACATTGGCAGGGAGCAGCATTGGAAGTGGAGCAGCTGGGACTCAAACTGGCATTCATATGGAATGCTGGCATCTTAGGCGGCGGCTTTACCCACTCTGCCACAGCCCCTGGGCCTCTCCATTTCTAACTCTTGATCTGCCTCCCATTCCCCTCTCGGCCCCCAGCTTCCTAGTGCTCTGTAGTGGGGTCCCAAGGTGTCCAGATGGAGTCGCAAGGTGTCCTGGTCAGCCCTGGGTGGACAAGGCTCCTGCAGGTCATCTCTCTCCCTCACTGAGCAGCCAGGGGGCCCATGTGTGCCCCAGAAGTTTCGCTTGGCTGTCCCCTGAGTGCTGGGGCTGCTGAGTTTGTGGGGGAGGGGAGCTGGGACACTTGGGCAGGAGAGGATACAACAAAATAAGACCTAATCCTGTCTTAGCTACCCCAGGGTGGACCAAGGTGCCACCCCCCAAGCCTGCAGCTGGATCCATACGCACTCTTGGGCTTCCGTCCCGAGGTGCCCCTGTCTGTCCCCCCGCTCAACGCTGAACAGACTGGAAACAGCTCTGGCTCCTGCACGGACTCAGGCCCCTCCACCATAGGCTCGGGGGAGTCGGGGGGGGGGGGGCTGCTGGCTCTTTGGCAGACACACACGGATACCTCTTTCACCCTTGACCTCTGTGAGTTCAGCGTGGGCTCAGTGATTTGCATTGTCACCTTCCTCTCTCCAAGGAAACTGTCCCCTCCTACCCCCGCAACTAAGTACCAAGATGTGGAGCTGCTGGGGCCCAGCCTGGGGAAGAGCTGTCCTTTTGGGGCAGGCGGGTGGGCTGCTGGCCCAGCCTGCCAGGTGGGTGGGTGGGTGGGGAGGGCTCCTGGCTTTGGTTCCCTGTTCCACGGTGTGGCCCCAGATGTTTCCCCAGATTCCCAGTAGCCCCATAGACAGCCTGGGTTATCAGATTGCACTGGACATGGAGGGAGGTAGCTGCAGGCACTTCTCTGTGCAGGACCCCCAGCACCCAGCCAGGGTCAAGGAGCCCCCCAGGTGCGGGCAGCAGCCTGGTGCCCACCGCAGGGAGCCCTGGTGGCTCGTGGCCAAGACAGAGGAGAAGCCACGCCCTCTGACCCCCACTCGTCACCGCCTTCAGCCCCCTCTGTACACCTTGGCACCTGGCCTCACTCCGCCTCTCCCTGCAGGAAGCTCCTGGCACCCAGCGAGGTTGCTGGGCAGGTGCATGGGGGGATGACAGGAGGGCTGTGGGTTACCTCTCGGGGTGCATTCCCAGGCGTTGGGGAGAGTATGGAGCAGGTCTAAGTGCACCACAGGAGGGCGAGTGAGGCCACTCACTCCCCATCGGCCAGTCCGCTCCCCCCTCCTCCTCAAGGGCCCCCCCCCAGCTCTGCCAGGACCTCTGTATGCCCTGGGAAGCCCAGAACCCCCACAGTTCTTTAACCAGCGCCCAGTCCTACCTCCTGCAGAGGCCATGCTGAGGACATGGGTTTGAGGGAGGGCCCTCTCAGTGGGAGGGGCTGTGGCTGTGGCTGGCACCTTGGGGACATCCTCTGCCTGCTCAGCCCCTCCCCCCAGCTCCTGTCTCCTCGCCTTCCGCAGGCTGGCTGCAGGAACTGGCCCGCCGCCTGGAGACGCCCTACTACCTGGTGGGCCGGACCGCAGCAGGCGGGAACAGCTCTGGGCCCGGAGACAACTGTAGCAGCAGCGGCCGCAGCGAAGCCAACGGCACGGGGCTGGAGCTCCTGGGCGGGCCGTCGCTGCGCAGCGCCTACATCACCTCCCTATACTTCGCGCTCAGCAGCCTCACCAGCGTGGGCTTTGGCAACGTGTCCGCCAACACTGACACAGAGAAGATCTTCTCCATCTGCACCATGCTGATCGGCGGTGAGGCCAGGCCCGGCCGCCGTGCCCTTCCGCCCCCCACCCTTGGCGAGGCCGGAGCTGGGAGGGACTGGGTGCAGGTGGGCCATGGCGGCACGAGGCCAAGCCAGCCCTGTAGGTGACCAGCTCCTGCCTCCTCCAGCCCTGATGCACGCAGTGGTGTTTGGGAACGTGACAGCCATCATCCAACGCATGTACGCTCGCCGCTTCCTCTACCACAGCCGCACTCGCGACCTGCGAGACTACATCCGCACGCACCGCATCCCCAAGCCCCTCAAACAGCGCATGCTCGAGTGTTTCCAGGCCACCTGGGCGGCGAACAACGGCATTGACACCGCCGAGGTGTGCCGGGGCTGTCCTCTTGCCCTGGGCCCCTGGCCAGGGGTCCGCATGTGGGCGGGGGCGGTGCATCCTGGGACAGAGGGCAGCCCAGAAGGCGGGGAGGCCCGTGCGCCTCCTGCTGCACACGCCCAAGGCCTGGAGGGGGGACAACTGGGATTGATGACTGCAGGAGGCAGAAGCAGAGGCAGCCCTGCTCGCTCACTGCACCCCGGTGGGAAGGGGCTGCATCTCCCTCGGCCAACCCCGCCCCCCACCAACCTCTGCTCCCCGGCAGCTACTGCAAAGCCTCCCGGATGAGCTCCGCGCCGACATCGCCATGCACCTGCACAAGGAAGTCCTACAGCTGCCGCTGTTCGAGGCTGCAAGCCGCGGCTGCCTGCGGGCTCTGTCGCTGGCCCTGCGGCCGGCCTTCTGCACGCCCGGGGAGTATCTCATCCACCAGGGCGACGCCCTCCAAGCTCTCTACTTTGTCTGCTCCGGTTCCATGGAGGTGCTCAAGGGTGGCACCGTGCTTGCCATCCTAGGTTTGTGAGGGTGGGAGAGAGGGCAACAGGGACCCATGTGTGTGTGTGTGTGTGTGAGAGAGAGAGACAGAGAGACAGAGAGAGAGAGAGAGACCAGGACCCCCCATCTGCAGAGAATCAGAAAGGGGCTGCCCACAGGTGTCCAGGAGAGAAACAGCCAGGACAGAGTCAGGAGTGGCCTTAGAGTCCTGGAAATAGTTCAGAAAAGACCCAGTGACCACAAGGTGGCAACTCCAGGGGACAGTTCTTGCCGTGTTGCTGGGGGCAGATTGAACCATGGGGCAGGTAGGAGAGGACGGGAGAGGTGGTGCACCTGTTGGGATGGGCAGACGACCGGACACTGGGGATGGAAGGGCCAGGGCTCGGCCGAGCTGAAGTTGACCTCATGGCCTGGGGAGAGATGATTGCTTGCCCTGGGGCCAGGAGGACGCCCGAGCAGGTGCCGGGCTGGGCTGCATCACGCCGAGCGGTAGACTCAGGCAGGAACAGAACCCACAGTGGATGGTGGTTCCTTTTTCTGGTGAAAGAAAGGGGTGGAGATGAGGAGTTCCCTGGAAGAGGAGAAGGCGTGCAGGCCCTGAGAACAAGGCTGTGCACCTGCTGCATCTTGCTCGGGTCTCACAACCCAGCGAGGAGCGGTTACTGTTCTCTCCCAAAGCGGGAGACCAAGGTCAGAGAGAGGTGGAAGGACAGCAAAGACTGGGCACCTGGCTGGAAGCTGTCCACTGATGGCCCATCGTGTGCTTCTGTCACGGTGTCTGGGCGCTGGTGGATTGGAAAGCACATTCAACCGCTCTGGGAAGCTCGGGCTGCCTCCGTGAGATGCAGCTCCATTGGCTACAAGGACCCTGGAGGGCAAGGAACCCCGGAGCCTGTGTGGGTAACGGGGTGCTCATCCAGGGCATGGAACTGACCATGGCGGACCCAGCTGAGTCGTCAGGCAGCCGAGGCCGCTGCCCAGAGTGGCTGAGGCTTATTACTGAGCTGGCGCCTCCACGACGCAGACTCAAAGCCCAAGAAAGAGCAAGGAGGGTGGCATCACACTGACTGATGCGACTGTGGAGACCTGGAGAGATCTAGAAAGATGGGAAGAGAAGACTGTGGAGCGGGCTGCAACGTGGCAAGGAAGCTGGGTGGCTGGAGCTGGCACCAAGACTCAGAATAGCTATGCTCAGCGCTCCTGATGCAGGCAGAGCCACAGAACAGCCACCACCCTGGGCCTTGGTCCTCACAGTGTCCCCAGCACTGATGCCTCCCGTCCCTGCCCATGGGTTCCAGACCAAGTTTATGCCATGGCCTGGGAGGCTCTGGATGCCCAGACGGACGGACCCCTGGCTCCCGGCCCCACTGTGGCTGTGTCTTCTGCTTTGCTCCAGCCCTTCTCCCCACCTGCCCACTTCGCTGGCCATCTAAGTGCACTCTGCCGGCCCCAGCATCCGCAGCTGGCCGAGCTCCGGGAACCGACTGCCCTGTGAGGGGCAGGGCTGCGATGCCAGCCTGGGAACCAGCTTCCAGCCCCGTACCGGTCCTCGGTGATGTTGCTGATTTTTCACCTCCCCTCCTGGATGGTGAGACTCACACAGTCCTCTCTGAGAGGGCGTAAAAGGACAGCGAGTGCTTTTGCCCAAATGCGGGTGTTGAGCTCCCCCTACGGTTCTTAACTGAAGCCCGACATTGGCCTGGCACCGAGCAGGAAACACGCACAGGATGTCTTCTTCATGAAGCTTGACCAAGAGTCCGAGGCTCCACGGAGGCAGCCCCTCAGCCCCGTGTGTGCCACAGACGGCAGCAGGGGGTGGCAGCTACCACCTTTGTCCGGCAGAGGGTGCTGAATTGAACGCTGACTGTGCCAGCGATGATCTGAGAGGGGACTGTGGTTTGGAATCGAAAGGAGGGAAATGAACTTGGATTCACCATCTCTGTGCTGGGCACATTAACGACATCAACTCTTTTTCCTTTTTTAATAAGATTTATTTATTTGAAGGCAGAGTTAGAGTGAGGCAGAGGCAGAGAGAGAGAAAGACACAGGAGAGGTCCTCCATCTGCTGGTTCACTCCCCAAGTGGCTGCAGGAGCTGAAGCCAGGAGCCAGGAGACCTTCCAGGTCTCCCACGCAGGTGCAGGGACCCAAGGACTTGGGCTATCTTCTACTGCTTTCCCAGGTCATAGCAGGGAGCTGGATTGGAAGTGGAGCAGCCGGGACTAGAATCAGTACCCATATGGGCTTCCAGTGCAGCAGGCGTCTTAATCCTCACCCGATTGTGGACAGACACGCCCTGTGCCACTGATTCTAACACACGTCCTTCCACGCCCACTGGTAGAACCCACCACAGCTCCGTGCTAGAGCCCCAGTTCTGATGAACAAACACGAACCTGAATCCCAGTGCTGTGTGTGCTCCAAGCCTGGCTGGGCTCTAGCAAGGCAGGCAGCAGGGGTCAGGGTGGGGTCCCAGCCTCTCTCTTCTTCTGTCCTGGCTCCAAGCGAGGGGGGAAGCCCAGCAGGCTAGGGCCGTCCCCCTCTCCTAGGGGTGACTGGCTGATCCCTGCTTCCTCTCTCCAGGGAAGGGTGATCTGATTGGCTGTGAGCTGCCTCGGCGGGAGCAGGTGGTCAAGGCCAATGCCGACGTGAAGGGGCTGACCTACTGTGTCCTCCAGTGCCTGCAGCTGGCCGGGCTGCACGAGAGCCTTGCACTGTACCCCGAGTTTGCCCCGCGCTTTAGCCGCGGTCTCCGAGGAGAACTCAGCTACAACCTGGGTGCTGGGGGAAGCTCTGCGGAGGTGAGGGCGCTGGGTACGTGCGCACAGGGGCTGGGGGAGGTGCTAGGGTGCCTTGACCAGGTGGGCGCAGGCTGGGGCTGGGGAGGTGCTGTGTGTGAGGCACGGCTTAGTCCGGAAGCCCCCTCCCTCCGTGGGCTCCCCCACACACTCTCAGCAGCAGCCCAGCTCTGCTCAGCCGCTCCCCCCACCCCACCCCAAGCCCTCCTTGGGCTCCATCTGAGACAGCAGAGTCTTCGTTCAAGGAAGCCGTGTCCACTGGCTCCAACGGAGGTCCGCCCCCTGGGTCACGGTGCCTGGCAGGGTGGGTACCAGCCCCCAGGCGGCTTCTAAAGAGGGACTGGGGTGGCTTCCCCTGCTTCTTCGTGGCAGAGTTAGAGACCGGCTTCGGCTCATCCTGTGTCCTTGCACAAATCCCAAGCCAGCCATCGGCGCTGCAGCCAAGTGGAAGGAGGCCGTGGGCCCGATGGGGGCGAGGCACTTTGTGGTGTCATCGGCAAAGCAGGCTGCTGCTCTTTAGCCAGCACCTCTTGGCACTTCTGGGGAAGAGAAGGCTTGGGAGGGGAGGCAGGTGGGGCCCAACAGCGGCCATCTGCACTGATTCCCTGGCCCCGTCCCCAGGTGGACACCAGCTCCTTGAGTGGCGACAACACCCTCATGTCCACACTGGAGGAGAAGGAGACAGATGGGGAACAGGGCCCCACAGTCTCGCCAGCCCCCGCCGATGAGCCCTCCAGTCCCCTGCTGTCCCCTGGCTGCACCTCTTCATCTTCAGCTGCCAAGCTGTTGTCCCCACGTCGAACTGCACCCCGGCCCCGTCTCGGCGGCAGAGGCCGGCCGAGCCGGGCCGGGGCTTTGAGGGAAGAGGCTGGACCCTCTACTCACCCACGGACCCTAGAGGGACTGCGGCTGCCCCCTGTGCCATGGAATGTGCCCCCGGAACTGAGCCCCAGGTGAGTAGGTGGGGCCACCTTGGTTGAGCTCCAGGCACATCCGTGCCCAGGGTGCCACCCTTCCGTCTCAACTCCCCTGGGAAGCCTAGCTGTTTCCCTCGCTCCAGCTTGGCTCTCGGCAGCTGAGCCGCCAGCTCCCAGGGAAGGGACCATGCAATCAGCTCTGGGCTGCCACGGCCTCTAGGCCGTGTGACCCTGCAGCATCTGCCCTTTGAATGCTCTGTTGCTTCCACAGGGTTGTAGATGGCATTGAGGATGGCTGTGGATCCTCTGACCAGCCCCAGTTCTCCTTCCGCGTGGGGAAGCCTGGCTCGGAATGTAGCAGCAGGCCCTCCCCAGTACCAGGTACCAGGGCTGGGGATGGGCAAGGCGGGAGGGCTTGGTCAATCAGCTCATGGGGTACCAGGGGTGAGATTGGCTCCAGGGTAAGCCCTGGGAAGTGGACAAGGTTGGGAGCTGTGGGTCTGAGGGCTGCCAGGGGATTAGCTTGCCCCAGCAGTGTGTGTGCAAACCAGCCCCTCGGGCAGGGCCAGAAGCTGATACTCCCAAGTCACGTCCTGTCCACGCTATGGCCTCATATTCCCACGCCGGCTGGTGACCCCCTCCTCCTGTCCACAGAGAGCGGCCTGCTCACTGTCCCGCTTGGGCCCAGCGAGGCGAGAAATACAGACACCCTGGACAAGCTTCAGCAGGCGGTAGGTAAGGGGCGAGGCGGGGAGGGCGTGGGGACAAGTGCGCTGCCGACCCTGACCCTGACCCTGACCCTGGTGGCCTGCTCCCCCCAACAAAGGTGATGGAGCTGTCCGAGCAGGTGCTGCAGATGCGGGAGGGGCTGCAGTCGCTGCGCCAGGCAGTGCAGCTCATGCTGGAGCCCCATGGGGAGGGCCGGTGCCCAGCCAGCCCCTCAGGGCTCCTGCAGCCCCTGCGAGTGGACACCGACGCCTCCTCCCAAGCCCCGCGGCCCCCAGCTGGCTCAGTCGTGACCGGAACTTGGCCCCACCCACGAGGACCCTCTCCTCTCATGGCACCCTGGCCCTGGGGGCCCCCAGCATCTCAGAGCTCCCCCTGGCCTCGAGCCACAGCTTTATGGGCTTCGACCTCGGACTCGGAGCCCCCCGGCTCGGAGGAACTCTGCTCTGAGCCCAGCACGCCGGCCTCGCCCCCTCCTTCCGAGGAAGCAGCTAGGACTGGGCCCACCGAGGCCACGAGCCAGGCAGAGGCCACCAGCACTGGAGAGCCCCCACCAGGGTCGGGGGGCCTGGCCTTGCCCTGGGACCCCCACAACCTAGAGATGGTGCTTATCGGTTGCCACGGCTCCGGCTCAGTGCAGTGGTCACAGGAAGAAGGTACGGGGGTCTGACTGTCGCCTGTGGACTGTGTGCTGCCTGCTGGCTCAGGGCAGGGGCTGGAGAGCGACAGAACGCCCGACCCGGGCCAGGGACCTCCGGACCCCGCCTCCTGGGAACCCTCCCCGGCCTGCTCCGCCCTGGGCCCAGTGGGGGGGTAGGGGCACCCCGAGGGCAGGGAGGGGTGCTGCCACCCCCGCATGTGCCCCTGCCTCTACCTGCCCCATTTTTTATATTAAAAATAATAATAAAGGAAACTACTTTGGGATTTGGTGCTTTTTATTTACAAAAGAAAAAAAACAGTCAAAGCAAAGTCTGAGGCTAACAGCTGGAGACACACAGGAGTGGGGGGCAGAGGGAGATGGGGGGAGGGCGGCCGCGGGGAGGGAGGTGGGTCCCAGCCCCTCCGGCAGCCCACGCCAGCCCCACTCGCCCTGAAGGCTCCAACCCATGGGCCAGCAGTTGGCCTCCTGCTGCCTGCCATGGGCAGGGGTTTCTCCCAAAGCCAGGACTGGCAGGGGAAGTGAGGCCGGGGGACCCCCGCTCCCACACCTCACTGCGGGGTGATCTTGGCGGCCTCGGCCCGGATGAGGGCGATGAGGTCCTGGTTGATGAGGAAGACGAATCGCAGGCTGGCGATCTGCAGAGGAGGGCAGAGTGGGCTGGGCCCAGGCCCCCGAGGCGGCTCCCCCTGCTCCCCCGGTGCCCCTGGCTCCCCCCTGCTCACCTCCACCACCGAGTTGTTGCTGAGGCGCCACTTGGAGCCGCACAGCACAGGCCGCCCGTCGATGTAGATGGGCCGCCGGCCCTCGTTGGCGATGAAGAAGTCACCATTGTTCTTCAGCTTGATGACACCTGCCGGACAGGAAGAAAAGGCGTGAGGGGCTGGCAGGCGGCCAGAGGCTGCGGCACCCCTAAGGCAGACATCTTGAATTTCCGGATCCTACAGGCACTGTTCTGACACACACAGCCCCGGGGCCAGGCTTCTGGTTGGGCGTACCTTGCTTCCGGGAGATCTTCCAGGCCGGACCCTCCAAAGACAGGTCCACGTCGATCTGGTTATCCTTGGTTGCTCGGCCCAGGGTGATCTGGGGAAGTGGGGCAAGTGAGGCCTGGCCCTGAGGGAGGGGGTTGGCCAGGGAAAGACAAGGAACCGGGGTGGGACGAGGGGCCGGGCGGCTGGGGCGTGGCTGCCTCACCTCTCGCGAGCGCATCAGGTACCGCACCATGCGGCCCCGCAGCACGGCCAGCGTCTGGTTGTCGAAGTCCGGAGAGCTCATGCCTGGGGGACGGCAGCGTTAGCAGGAGCCCAGCCCGGGCCCGAGCCGAGGAGGGAGGGGAGCCGGCGCCCGGGCACCGTGGAGGCCGCAGCCGGGCCACGGCAGGGCCTGGGGGTGCCGATGCGGCCCTCACCTGTGATGCTGTCGACCAGCACCTGCCACTTGTGCAGCTCCTGCTCCAGTTGCCGGATCTCCCGCTTTTGGCGCCGGTCGGCCACGGTCAGCTCTGGGGGGGTGGGGAGGGGAGGGAGTTGAGGAGGCGTGGGGGGGGGGCAGCGGCACCACGCCCTCACTGTCCCCTCGGCCCAGGGCACACTTACCGTGTTCTAAGACTTCATCGCGCATGTCCCTGAGGGGCGAGAGACAATCAGTGAGGCTCCCTCGGGAACTCCCGGGCCCCTCTAGCCAAATGGCCGGTAGGCTGTCCCCGGCCCCGGCCCAGCCTCCTACTCTGTGTGCAGCGGGGCGGGGTACACGGTGAGTCTAACAGGGCTCAGCACGGGGGCAGGGGGAGGGGTACAAACCACAGCTCCCCCCAGGGCCCGCAGGAGCGACCAGCGCTCATCAGACGCTGCACCCAGCCACTCACTTGAGCTTGCTGTCGTCAATCAGGTCCTCGGCATCAGAGAAGTTCAGGACTTGGTCCCCCTTGGGCAGCGGCTGCACTGAACAAACAACAGGAGGGTGAGTGCCCAGGCTGCCCGTCACGGCCGAGCTACCAGTGTGGACTTCTCAGTGGACAAAAAGGCTCTCGATTGCGTGGCCTTGAACCACTGCATTTTATACACGAGTAGTCAGGGACAAGGGGAGGTGAACCGACTTGGCCCCTGCTCGGGACGGAGCCAGGATTCCAGTCCCGCCTCCTGGCTCCACACCCAGGCTGCCCCCTGTGCCACATCGCCGGTGGCCTGGCACTTCCGGCCTCACCGAGGCACAGGACAAAGAACACAGAACAGCCGGGGGAGCTGGGAAATCGCTTCATTACTTCTAACGTGAAATTAGGGGAGCTTCCCCCCTCAAAGCTCCTCCCCTGGCCCCCAGGCTGCCTGGCCCTCCTCATCTGATGGATCAGGGACCTGCCAGCTCACCGGGCGGGCACTGCCTGTCCCCAGAGACTTTCGGCTCTGAACAGCAAAGGGCAAAGCGCATGTGCATGGACCCAGACTGCTAAGGACGCTCTTTTTAAGGAAGTTTATGCAAGGTAACTCTTAACTTAACCCAGCATCTGTTCTCTTCCTGGGCATTCGGCGAGGCCTGAGGGAGCAGCGGAGTTCGGCAGGCTCCAGAATCAAGAGGGCTGCCCCCTGGGCCACCAAATTAGCAGAAGGAAAGAGATTTCCAACCCCCACCTCCCCCCCCGAGAAATTTCTCTTCCATACCAGAAGCTCAGGACCCTGGAGGGAAGGGGAGGGGAGGGGCAGAGCCGAGTGGCACCTTGCGAACAGCATGGGAAAGCAGGCGGAAGGCAGCGGGCAGGAACCTGGGCAGGACGAGCGTGCTCGCACGAGGAGCCCAGAGCCCGGGGCCCTGCGGCACTGGGCAGTGCCTGCTGCGTGCTGAGGCTGCCGCGCCGGCACCGGTCCCTGGGGGTGGGGTGACAGGAGGCACCCTGCTCTCTGGCACGGGGAGTGGGGGAGGACGGGGGGGGGGGGGGGCATGTGACTGACAGCACTGCCTGGTGGGAGGGAGGCAGAGGGGAGGGTGAATGCGGGAGGGACTTCCACACTTTGCTCAAGTCTGAGCGGTCTGCGTGAAGAATACACTAACGTGTGACTCCCAGAACGGAAGAAACAGAGACGGACAGGAGGGAGATGGCTCTTGTGCTTGGATTCTTCCCAGAATTCCAGGCGCTCTGCCTCTCCCCTAGCTGTAGGCCTCCCTCAGGGTCCTCATCCCAAAGTGGATACCGGGCCCCTGGGGGACGTGACAGGGCACGCGAGGGCAGGGTGCCCAGAGCAGCCCCCCCGGCTCCCAGGGTGCTACCTGTCTGGTCCTCCAGCAGGTAGTACTGCTTCATGAGCTGCCAGTGGGCCTGCAGAGCCTTGGCCGTGCGCGCCAGGTAGAAGGCATCCGGGTGTCTGTGCAGCAGGTCCTGGAAGGTCTCCAAGGTGGGCTGGCTGGTCTGGGGGGCGGGGTGCGAGAGACAGGCTCTGGGCGTCTGGATGCTCTCACGCTCACGTCACCTTGCCAGCCCAGGCTCCCCAGCGTGGGCAGCCATGCACCCAGGCCAGGGGCAGGCCCCACCCCACCCCCACTCCCTACCCCGTCCAGCCTCAGCCTCACCGATGCTACTCTGCTCAGCAGCTGCTCCTCGGCCTTGCTGAACAGGGCCTTGCTCTGGATGGCTGCGATGGCCTCCGGGTGCAGCTGCTTCATGGCCTGGCAGGCCAGCCTGGGAACAGGAGGAGAGGGCGGGCAAGCAGCCTGGGCTTCCGGCTCTCCCCACACCTGCAGACCTCGCAAACCCGAAACCTAGGGGCCAGGGCCTCGGGGGAAGAGCCCAAAGCAGCACAGCTCCTGTGGCCGCCTGCGTGTGTCAAAGGAATGGACACACAACTCAGGAAGCCAGGGCTCCCACATTCCTGCAAGTCCAGTCTTGAGATGGATTGTAGGACCGGCCGCTTCTCCCTCCCAGGCCCTGCCTTCTCAACCGGCCAAAGCTGCCGCCCGCTAGCCGGGCCCACCTACCACCTCCTCCTTTCCCAAGCTGAGCCCGGCCCATTCTCCCGGGCCCGTGGAGAGGAAGATGGGCGTTAAGCATCCAACCAAGCTCTGAAGACACTGCACTAGGAGCCGGGGGGGGGGGGGGGGGAGAGGGATGTGCTCCGTGCTCTGTGTGTGTGTGTGTGTGTGTGCTCAGGTTTACTTGGAGCCCTGGCTGTGAGAGCAGAAAAGGGCGTTAAGTGCTGCTCTGTTCCAACTGCCTCCTCTTTGGAGAAAGAACCTGCCGGGGTCAGCGTGGAGTTTGGGAGGGCTGGAGGCGGGACAAAGCCTGCCTTAGGAGCCCGCTAGGTGTCCCTCTCACCCGGGGCTGCAAAGCCCAGGGCCAACTCTCTGTGCTCCCAGAGCCAGCCCTGGTGATCCCGGAACCTCCCAGAGCCGAAGCCGGCCCCACTCACTTGGAGATGACGGGGTCGTAGAGCAGGGCGTACCAGCGCTCCTGGACTTCCCGCAGGGTGAAGCGGCAGCTGAACTTCACGCCCAGGTGCACAGACGTCAAGTCGTTGGTCTGCAAGGCCCCTACAGGGTTTGCTCCAGCGCCGGCACTGGGAAGGCTCCCCCCATCACCCACAGGGCCTTGGCCAGGTTGGCCTGGGGGACCGGGGCCAGGAGGTGAGGAGGGGGCACCCGTCCTTGGCGGAAGCGGAAGCGCTACCTGCAGCACGGCATTGATGAGCAGGAGGTCGTCCGCAGGCTTCCAGCGGCCCAGGTCCTTGGTCACCTGAAGCGGCTGCTTGCTCTTCTTCACGCGCTTGCTGAGGCCGGGGGCTGGGGCTGGGCTGGGAGGCACGGGTGTGCTGGGGGCCTTGGACACCTGGGCAGAGGCGAAGGAGAGACGGGCACACAGCGGGTAGGGGGGCAATGCGGCTTCAGGCCCTGGGGTTCCACCTAGTCGGCGGCAGCCACGGCACGAAGCCCAGGCAGAGAGCTCCGCTTTCCAACACCCGGTCCCATCCCGTCCCTGCCAAAGGCTTCCACGCACCCCTTCAGCAGATGGGGTCTTCTCTTAGCTGGGGGCACCCCACCCCAGGACGGAGGGTGGGTGGGGAGGATACCAGGAAAACACTTGCTGGTATGGCATCTGGGGCCATAGCAGTGCCACCTGGGGGTTATTTTTACACCCCGCAATGCTGGGAACAGGCTGTCTGCTCCCAGAATAGATACACGCTCCATGCCTCCCACGCGGAATGTGATACAGGATGCACTGGTGCCGTGGGGTGGGGTGGGTTTGCAGCAGGAAAGGGGGAGGAGGAAGAGATGGCCCCAG